TGTGTGTGTCTGTGTGTGTGTGTGTGTGTGTGTGTGTGTGTGACGTATGCCACAGTGCGTTGCATCAGGTACTGGTCTTGCTGCCCTGTAACAATGCTCGTTTTTTAAGGTTGTTAAAGCTGGAAGACACGGCGATCCAATTGAAATTGTTGTCACACGCAGTACGGTCACTTCGGCTCCGAATACTGATGACGAGGGCGATGGTGAGTTTTAGCAGTTGTTCATTTCTCAGAACTTTAACTGACTTCACCCTTTGCGCAGTAGGAAGCGTGAGCTGCCGGCTTTGTCGCTTGTCATGCTGCTGTATTCCGTATTACATTAGCGAAGTTTAGACGACAGGTCGAGGAATTCTTGGTTTTTTTGGTCGTTTTCTTTAAGAAAATGCCTCTTCAAAAGTTTCTAGCGATGAGGAAGCCAAGCCTGAGATCGAAGACTTTTGTTAGCATAGTTGCAAGCTGGAAAATTCATTTTAGGAATCTCAGATTTGAGTCTGCAACTTGAAAAAAAGTCTCTCATGCATTGTCCCGTCGCAGCTACCTTTTTAGTGAGAACAGTTGTGAGAAAAATTTTTTTTTTTTGTACAGAGGCAAAAAATTCGAAATTTTGTTTTAGGATGCGAGCATTTCTCAAATAATTATTTGAAAATGACTGGCACATGATTATTCAGAATCAGCAGTATACCGCCTTTATATAAGTGTTGTGCATTTAAGGAACTCTCTCTGGTAGTGACTCAGAGTTGCTGTTGCCGTCGCGAACGAAATCGAGTTCAGTTTCTCGCAGCTGTACTTTTATTGGACCAAGAAACGCGGACGAAGTAGCTTCTCGCTCTGCGAATGTTCATTATCGTCGAAGGCGCGGCGACAGTTGGCGCCTGGATGATGGCGCAACAGGCGATGATGATGGACACTTGGACGTAAGACGCAGCATTATTTGACTGTGCATATGACGGAGCAGCTCTTACCCCACGGTCCGTAAAGCAAAGGCCTCACTCGAATTCACTTTTTATTTTACTGCATTCTCTGTCCTGCCAGACCAATCAGCATTTTTCAACTCAGTCATTTTTTTTTTCCGTCGAACTGCATTTTGGTTCAGCGTACAGCTTTTCCGGTTGGCGCAGGCCGGTGTTACATGACGGGTTGCATAAAGTATTTGATCCTACATGAGCTCACTCCAAGTAGGTGGCAGGTATCTTCCTCGAGTATGTGAAGCCAGCGCATGGAAATCGCCAGCTGTTGGTGTTTTATCATCATTTTTATTATTTTTTACGAAAGTGATTTCAGGTTGAAGTAAAAGCAGAATATGGCCAGGATGACGACGGTGAAACTTTTTTGAAAAAGGTGAGATTTGTTCTATGCTGTAACATTCAGTGTTTGCTGAGCCGATCACGTTTTCCCAGTGCGGAAAAAAAAATTTAGCACTTTCCTACATTTGATACGAGTACTTGTTGGGTGTTCTAGTTGATCAAATATCTTGTCATGGCCTAAGCTGGCGATGTCCAAGAGGAGCAGTAGTCATGTGTATATAAACATGACTACCTGTATACTTACGTCTTCCAGCATTACTGGTAAATTATCACCGGTTTTGGTGCGATAAGACTTGTGAAGATAAATATAGTTGAAATGTTTGTTGTGTGATTTTTTTTAACC